GCTGGTGGGAATTTCATGGATTCTTAATTGATGAATGAACATATTTGCAATAAACTGGTAAATTTTGGTCATAAAAGCCCGTTTAAAGTTTTTATTTGATGAACTGCAGGTTCTGGATATTAGAGTAGGCTTCTATGGCTTTACTTATCAGTAGTGCAGTAGTGGCCTTGACCAGCTAGCCCTCATTCATCTTACCTTTACACATGTATTGTCCTATCTTAGAAACCTCACGTACTTACAGATTTTATTTTAAAAAGAAAGAAAGCACAAGCCAAGGTTGCACTGACATTGTTGTCAGTTTTGTTGATGAAGTTAGGTTCTGAAGAAAACAGGTATCTTCTTTCCTGAAGGTCTGTTGAAGTAGGGTAGATGATTATCGTTCTGGTGTGGTCTGAGTATAGCTCTGCCTGGAGGCTGGAGAAAACCAGGTGAGTGAGTCTCACTCTGTGTCCATCAGAATTGGATTTCCAACCCTAGGCCCACAGTATGTTAGTGAGTTTGGGTTGAGACCCACACAGGCATCTGGGTTTAATGGCTCACCAGAAGATTCAGTTTAATTCATTTTTTTATCTTTAAGATTTTGATACATGGGTACTTGTCAACTCTTCTGTGACCATTAGAAGTTCAAAATAGAAATTCCTTTTAAATATAGTTAATTGTAAATTTTACTTCCTTCTCAATTTGGCAGTATTTCTTTTTCATTCTTGAGGAACCAGAGTCTTGCTCCTAAGTTTTGCTTAAATTAAAGACACTGATGCCAAAAATCTCTTTCCATTTGAGACTCCTTAATTACAACATGCAGGTTTATAAGGATATTTGCTGCTGCTGCCTGGAGATTATTTGGGGCCTTCAGGGCACACAAGCTTTTAAAAATCATGAGAAGAGCATCTGGAAGGATGCATGGCCCTATACCCTCCTCTCCCATTGTTTCCTTTGTGGAGAACACTGTGAGTGACCCAGCAGCAATCTCTGGGTTCCCTTGTCTTTCCAGAGGCCTTCACATGGGTGGCACTTAGCATACTTGGTATATTTTATTTGTGATTATCTCCTCACAGATTGTGAGCCTTCTGCAGGAAGGACTTTGCTATTTGTAGAGGGTAACAGATTGGTTAAGAGAGTGGATTTCACATTTGAAATTCAGATAGAATGAGGAGGGTATTTTATTCATACAGATTTCTAAAGTTCTGAGTTTTTGACTAGTGGTTAGACCTATGTTATTCATATTTCTACCTTGGCATTTTGTAACCTGCCTTATGAAAACAATGGAAGATTGTCACATCATTGTAGGTTACTTCCACTCCC